ATGGTGTCGGGAGAATAATCTAGCTCTCAGCATATCCAAATGTAATGTAATGCCTTACTCACTGAAAACGAACTTGAATTTACACAACTACGTCATAAACAATCAAATTCTGGAGCGTCTTGACACACTCATTGATCTAGGTGTTACTTTTGATTCATCCCTTTCTTTCAATAAACATATTGACACTACTCTAACAGCAGCTTATCGCATGTTTAGATTCTTAGTTAGAAATACAAAGGACTTCGAGAAAGCTTCAATATTGAAAGTACTTTATTTCACTTTTGTTCGATCTAGGCTGGAATATGCATCTGTCGTGTGGAGTCCCTACTATCAGATTCATATAAATCAACTAGAAGCCCTACAGAGGCGCTTCCTAAAATATATGTCTTTTGAACTTGAAGGCATGAATCCTACTATAGGAATACCCTATTATGAATTGTTTGTAACTCACAATTTTTATAGTATCGAGGTGAGGCGTAAATATTATACATTCATTTTTTTATTCAAGGTCATAAACAATATCATCACCTGCTCTCAATTGTTATATATATTGAATTTTTGGGTTCCTAGACGGTCATATAGGAATAGTGTCACATTTCATCTCAACACTCCGCGTACAAATATAATGAAAAAAATCTCCAAATCATACAATGTGCGATACCTCTAATTCTGTTAGTCATGTTCTAGATATATTCAACTGCCAGATTATACAAATCAAAAGACATTTCTTAGCTAACTGACAGTTCTGTTTTTATTTTTTTTTATATAGATTCACAAATTATATCATGTAAGTACATATTTGTAAATGCCACTGTTACTCTTTATTCTGTAGTTGGGTTCATCCTGCAGAATAGTGTATGAAATGAATAAATAAATATGTTGAAAACAGAAGTATACATGTCTGAAAAAGTTGTTTATTGTGCTGNCCACTGGAATCAATGAAGTCGCCCGGAGCGCCAATTAATTTTTATTGTTGTTTTTATTTTATTTTTATCGTTGTTGTATCATTATATATTTCAATTCAAAAATAATTAAAATATCATAGGTTATATAGAATCAATTTCACAATATTGCCCTAATAAATAAATAATGAAGTCACGTCGGATGTATTGAAAAATGTTTAGCCTACTATAGAAGCAAAGAAAATTTAAAAATCAATGGAAAACACTACAATGAAGAAATGAACTCAAAAAATCTTATAGTGTGGATTTATTTATAACAGATCAGTTATGTACTAACAGTTTTGTATGTGTGTTACTTTGTCCATTGTTTATTCGAAGAGAGAGGTGACAGAGGCAATTTATATGTATACAAATTTCGGAATGCAGAAACACTTAAGTCAAGAAGAACTTCTAACTAATTCAAAGATTACTGGGCTGCGACATAAATTAATTGACCCCGCAGAATATGTTAATTCAGAATAGTTCTCAGGTCAGCCAGATAAAATCTCCAACATTCACTTTGCTCTCTGCACGTTCTCCTACATTATAATGAAAAATTAGTTTCAAAGGACAAACGCCGACGAAAGTGAATGCCTGGGCGGATTTAATTTATATTTACATGATTCACATATACATTTCACGAATTATAAAGTATTGTGTGATATGTAACAGTTTCCATATTAAGGAAGATTGTAGCTGAGATTTGGAGCTGACAGGCCATTGAGCATATTCATTGAATTCAATTCATCATTTTCGTTACAAAATATATGTATACTCATTATACAGGCAGAATTATCATTCATTATATACGAGGTTCATTCGTTGTGTTCGGATCGAGTATACGAAGTCTGTTCAAAAAATTAAATGAATTTTAGTTTGTCTCCAAAAATATCATTTACTCATCGTTTTCTATCATGCCCCCTTCAGAGTAATCCCCCTCAGATATAATACACTTGTGTCAGCGTTTTTTCCGATCTTCGAAGCAGTCCTGATATGCTCTTCTTGGTATGACCTTGAGGTCTCTCAGCGATTCGGTTTCCATCTCCTCAATCATCGAAAACGCCCTCCTTTCATGGGTATCTTCAACCTTGGGAACATAGTCCGGTCAATTAAGACATTTGAAGCTACCTAAATTCCCACCAAGCTGAAAATTAGTTAGATTGTTTAAAATAATGTTAAAATAAAATTTGAAAGTTCCCCATCTTTCCACTGTATGTATCGCATGTCGCCTCGTTGGAGTCAAACGGATCACTGTTGGTGATTCAATATTAGATCACGATCGGCTTTGACAATGTGTACTTGTACATGCCAGAGAACGAAACAGTCTGGCTTTTTTGCAACTACATTTAGCACTGCACCCTTTTTGCAGTTGCAAAAAATTGTGTTCACCAGTTTTTTCGGTGCAGGTGGAAGTAAAGTTTGGCTGGTCCTAATGAATTGTTGACAAACTTCCAACCCCAGTCTGTAGGGTCTAGCTGATAACCAAGCCACACTTGAACTTGGTAATATACCCGAAAAAGATGTTGATGAGTAGCAACCGAGGTTGGAGGAAGACAAGGTAATTGTACTCGTTTTTTACTTTTGGTATATTTAATGAAACATGTTCTATACTTATCTGAGCAGGTAGTTTTCTTAGGAGCTCGGTACATAGAAAGAAGAAAGCGAATGCCGTTAGTGATAATTTTTTGTCGAATTGAATTACTATTTTTGAAAATTTCAGCATATTGAACTAAATTTTGTTTTTGAAAACTGTTATTTTACCCCTCCTGTAAAATGCAGATGACGTATCACAGCCAGTTATTGCGTTTAAAAATAGTACATGATTTTGACACTTTGAAACATATTATGACTTTTACAACTTTTTGAATCGTTATATCTCAAAAACGGTGGCTCGTAGGAAAAAAAGTATTGATACTTTTGTCTGTACAATTTTTGTCTGTTGTATTTTTATCATAAAACTCACCGTTTTGCTGAAAATCGTGAAAAACTATTTTTTTACCTCTGACCTTGAATAAAATTTTTTCCATACAGGGGAAAGATGGGGAACTTTCAAATTTTATTTTCAATCATATTCAAACAATCTTACAAATTATCAGCTTGGTGGAAATTTGGGTAGATTTACTCTTATTTTTTGGTCTAATTTGACCGGACTAACAGGAACAAGTCGTTTTCTTCGTATTGCTTCTTGCAAGCAGCGCATAACTTCAATCACTGACCGTACGACTATGTGGCAAAAACCCTGATGCACTACGACACGGTAATCGTAAAAACATTGAGCAAAACCTTGACAATTGATCAAAGTTGACGTGTTTTTTTGGTCTTGGCTCTCCTGGGCTCTTCAGTTGGTATGATTGGACTTTGATTCCGATGTCATAACTATATACTCAAGATTCGTCACCAGTTATGACCCTTTGACGCTGTTGACGTCATTCAACAATTCCTGGGCGATGCTCATGCGACGGTTTTTTGATAAAAATTCAGCAATTTCGCTGCCACATGCTTCATGCCCAAAATTTACAAAATAGTGATAATTTACGTCATCATTCACATCTTCTCGGCCTTCTGTGAAAGACTTGTACCACTTGTAAACATTTTTCTGACTCAGGGTACAATCACCGTATGTCACTGTCAACATTTCAAGTGTTTTTGAGCACATTTTTCACAAAATTTTCAATAAAACGCTTCTTGAATGAAGTTTCTGGTGAAACTTGTTCAATAACCATTGAATAATTTTCAACAGGAACTTTATTATGGAAAACGTGGATAGGAATATCATAAACCTGCCACACTCGGTACACGACAGTCGAAGAATATGTGGTAGCCAAACATTACGTGTGAAACAAAATCAACATTGTTATATTTGGGATTCATAAATTTTTTATTGGACCTCGTAACACACTTTTCATTATAAAGACAGCATCAACTTTTTTTGCCGTTAAACCACATTAGCGTTCCATTGAATTCAACGCCTCATCTCCCGTACAGGTGTGGATTATAATTATGATGAATCGTGCACGATTTTTCAACCGAATCATCATTATGATCATTATGTTCGTAAAAAATCTAGCACGTAATCACCAAAATCGTAATGTTACGATAAAAGGACCTCTTTTCTATAGATTCAAGTTCAATGAAGTCATTTGTTCAGAAGTGTTTGAAAAAACGGTTCGCATTATTGGCTTCTTTTGGTTTTAAGTATGTAGAAAGTATGTAATTATTTTTGTGAATGCGTTGAACTGCCTGGAAAACATATTATGTAAAAGAAAAAATCGACTTCGGTAAAGAGTTTATTATTAGTTTTAATTCCAATATATATTTAATGAAAACCAAGGATATAAAATAACATAGATTTCCAAATTGAAAACTAAGAATACGGTTTTCAGTTCGTATCAAGAAAATTAAAATAAAATAAGCAATAGATGAAAATTGAAGAAATTTTCAGAGGGAAGTTTCTATTTTTCAACGAAAACATTGTTATTCAGCAATATCATGGAAGTGGTTGTAGGACTAGTGATTTTATCTATTGCTCGTAGCTCGATTGGTATTGTTTAAAAATAACAAAGTTTGAGTTTACAAAAAGGGATAATTATCTGAGAAATCTCCGTAAAGGTCATTTTCTGAATGATTCTCAACTGAATAAATCAAGAATAAAATATCAATTCTTGAATTGAAATAATTTTATCAACTGAATAACAAAAATTTTCAACAAGAACATTAGTTCGAATGCACAATTAATGAAGACACAATGTTGGAACATGTGAACAGAGTATGTGAATGACTAAACTCCCATTTCTCAACAATAACACTTCATTGTTGAAATTTATCGTATCGTGACATGAGACTGTAGAGCCGGCACCCAAGCCACCCGACTTACTTGACGTGGCTAGATTCATTAACGCGTATTTTTTTTCATTTCAACAAAATTGTTGTTGAATGTTTCGATTGAAATATTGAAATTAATAACTATCATTTATACATTATGTCTATTCGAAGTGGAGTTTGAATTGAAGGTTTGTAGTCTTATTTTCTTAAGTTTATGTATCAGTGTAGTGTGGCAATTCATTTTTGATCAGTCAATAGTGATTGTGCTAAGGGGATAGAGGTAAACCAATTATCCATCGTGATGTTTCTTTTGCTATCATGGATGGGCTCTGTCATTCTGACAACAACATCAAGAGATTTATTGCTCACTTGGTATGGTCCAGCTGGTTGGGTTCCTATATACACTTCCATGTTGAACGTATAATACATCCTATCATCTACAAGGGAATATATTCTTATTCCATATCTTGCAGGTTTATTAGGTATGTACATTCGGAAGGCACATCGGCCACGGAAGGCTGATAGCATTTCATCAATCGTGACGTATTCTCCTGGCGAGTAATGATTTCTAAATTTTCCATTTACTTCCTCAAACAATTCCCTAATAGGTGCAAGATTGTCGGTTTTTTTCCTCTTTTCACGTGTATCGACGTATATCTCCAGACCAGTGCCATCTGTTGCCCATAATTCGTAAATAGTGGTTCGACCTCCTTTATGGACACCAGCTAAATATAACAGGCCGATTAGTGCTTTGATTTCCGTTATATCTGTGTAACGTACGTCGTATTTATCTTTATATGAATGAGCTACTTTTTCAATGAACTGATTGGCATATTCAACTATTTTCTGTACCATGTTATCCGAAAAGAAAGCTTCCAAGTTTCCATTGCAGTTTTTGAGTTTTTTGCAACGCCAATAACACCTGGCAGCTTTTTTATCAGATTATGTTGCCTAGTTCGAATATTCTTTGGATAGCAGCACTTATTCCATTGAAAACCAGTTTTTCCATAATAAGACAGGTGACGATGTATACCACGAAGTTGATCCATATCTACAATCATTTCTTCCTCTTCATCATCCATACTCAGCTCCTGTTCTGAATCTGTTTCATGAGTACTTATAATGTTTGAAAGCTGTAAAATAAGCGTTTCAATACATTTAATCGAAATGAGTTTGAAAAAAATCTCACCACGAAGGCACGGGTTGGGTCTGATATACACCGATGGTCTGAATTAGCGGGAACTAAAGTGCAAGCGAAACAAACTTCTCAGGGTATAAAGGTCTACTGAAGATAGGAAGGTACTGTAGAAGACGGCAATCATATGAGCTGCGTTCAAGAGGGGAGCGCTCAAACGTAATAGGCTGTGTATGTCAGACCCATATGTATTTTCATGCATAATAAACGATATTATCATCATTATATACAACTCTTTACCTCTGGAACTTGAATATCAGTCGTAAACACAATTCGAACAGAATATAAGAAATATATTTTTGGCCAATCCTAACTTTATTACTTCTTTCGTTTTTTTTTCTATATAAGCTTGAGACTTTCATTCCTGGAAGATAATGTAATGATGCAGATATTTCGATGAGGTTGATAAAGTTAAGGCAGCATTTGTGGGGTTGAGTGGAGAACATTTCAGTCTAGGTCTCGCCTAGATAAACGTGGAAGAAGGGTGCCAGAACAGATCCCTGGGGTATACCCATATTATTCTACTGTGATAATGACAAGTCGATATGGCTTTCACTCTTGTACTCCATGTATGTTTTACCCCACACCACGTCGAAATATAGCTTGTTGAACAGTTTTTCATGCAATATGCAATTTGAAAAGGGTGGTAACTACACAATGCAAAATCGTATTATCAAAACCTTTTTTTCTGTGAGAGGAATAAGCGTTCTCTGTAATCATCGGGCTAGGAGCCAGTCGTTTGAACCACGTGCGCTTCAGCTATCGATGTCACAATATTTCATCTATGAATAAATTGTTGGCTGTATTTATATGTGAAACCAATTAATGATGCTAGTAATTAACACCACCAATTCATTGTGAACTAATATGTCTATTTGATTACATTGAACGTGTCACCTTGCAGTTGCCTATCAATTATCTATATGAATCAATGTTGAAGGTTTGTCTAGAGACGTTTAACTTTTTTGTTTCAACGTACAAGGTCTTTTTGTTAACAAAAAAACGATGCAAAGGTACTCCGAAGTTCATGATTGCTCCAGTATTCCATATATGTAGAAGGTACGGTCATTCAAAGTGTATTGAAACATTTATATTTCGAATTAAACATAGTGTTTGATGAAAATTAAACAGAGAAACTAGAAATGATCAAAGTTGTAAAAACTGATTTGACTCTAACGATATCTCTATTACATATACCATTATTTTGCTCGGAAGAAAACCAATCAGAACTGAACATGATGATGCTGGTGGTTTGATGTAGCTCTCAGAAAGAAGTGGAAACACTACCTCGAAGCGGAGAGTTTTACTCACCTCAGCAGTTTTTAATGCTTCATAAGAAATGTTTCATTGACATAGCCCACTGACTTGGAATGAAATTAATATCTTTCTAACCAGTATTTTCGGAAAAAAACGCTGAAACACNCGCTGGATTGGACGACGTGGTACAATTGAATGGCCGTCAAGATCCCCAGACTTAACGCTATTTGATTATTTTTATTGGCGATATATGAAAAACAAGGTTTATCAAAATAGGCCGGATAATATTGAAGATTTGAAATTCAGAATTTGAGTGGAATCACATAACATACCGGCCAAGGCCATTCGGAATTCCGTAGACGGGTTTTACCATCGCCTAGGAGCCTGCCAAGTAGAGAGTGGAGGTCAATTTCAGCATCTCTTACGTTAATTCACACGTAGATAGCACTAAGTTAGGTATTTATAACTTTTCAAAAGAGTTTTTCCTCATTTCGTTGTAACCACAAAAAATAATAGAGGGTATGGTCAGAATCCATTTTTCACGAGCTCTTCAATGAGCCCATACATGACATAGGTTTGCATTTGGAAAAAAAGTTGGGAAGGGTTGCGGATAAGGGGTTGAAAAAAAATTCATTTTATTGCCAAAAAATGCGTACAACGTGAAATCAACTGACGTGTTTCAGCATTTTTCTCCTAAATTACTGGTTAAAAAGATATTCATTTCATTCCGGACTTTTGCGCACCCCTGTATGTTCCCTCATAATAAATACTGCCATCTATTTCTCAAATAAGAGTTCATTGGTATGGCGATATTTGATTTTGGCGATATTTGACAAAATCATTGTCAATCTTGAATGTCATGTATTTTTTAAAGTATGTCTGAACAAATTCAGGCTGATATACACTCATATTGTATAAGGAACATCAAAGAAGCGTGGGTAACATTCCTGGTCCTTACAGATTTTGAGAGAGTTTTCATGTTCATCATTCAACAAGCACGTTGTACAAAGTAAATGAAAAAAATTTGCATTTTTTTAAATATCTTAGAAAAAGTTGTTTGAGTATCTACACCATTCAACCCTTGCGGGTTGAACCACCAAGTTTTTTCACATAGTATTGATATTGGTTGCAATCTTATCGTGGGGTTATTGCTCATAACGTACATCAAGTAATAGTAATAGGTTGCATTCTTGAGATACTCCGCTAGAAACTATTGAAGCTTTCAATTCATGACCTTCACGTTTCAAGGATGATGTGCAATTGAACAAGTGGGATTCGAACAAGGATCTAAGATGCCAGAATAATCCTCTCTGTTCCAAACTTTTGAAAAATTTCTGTGATACAACTGGTAAGCGATTTTTCACTGCCTCACTTACACATTGAGTGAACCCTGCTGGATCTGTTTTAATGTAGGTCTTTATTTTTGAAGCCGTGTAGTTTTTCTACACAGTTAGAAAGCATAGTTTTTGATGCAAATGTTTTCAATAAATCTGAGCTGAGTATAGAATATATGTTACGGGCAACGTGATTAACTGGGCATTATTAATGAAGACCGACCATTTTTAATACTGCCCAAGAGCGATGGGCAAAGTGATTAATTTATCACTTTGACCGACCATTATAGATAATGCCCGACGGCCCGTGGTCCATGCAATACGTCAGTGGACCGGTCCAAGTGATATAATTCATCACTTGGACCGGGCAGTATGAATAATTCTCTACTTGTAGCCGGGCAATGTGATGAATTAGTACACGGCAAACCTTGTCATAGCCAATCTCAAGGTAGGTTTAAAATCAGTCTTGCCATCATTTGACGGGTTAACGGAGATAGTAAGTGAAGATGACCTTGAGGCAATGTTGCAAGATAGTGATTTCGGTGGAGGTCAAAACGTAATTGTGGAGAGAGCGGATGATGCCGTAAACGAAGACATCGATAACTGGTTGTATTTCTGTTACTAAACACGGTATTTTGAACTAACTGTACTCCAGAAATGAGTTTACTGTGTGTAAAGAAAAGTTTATTTCGATCGACGATGTTCCAAAAGTTTATATTACTCTTCGAGAATATGCTCGAAGAGACTCTCATTTTGATGGACAAGGCTTCCAGCATTGTAACTGTAGTGATGACTGCAATTCAAAACGGTGTAAATGCAAGAAATCAAACATTCTTTGCAATTTCAAATGTCACAAAAGCTCATCTTGCAACAATAAATAATTCTTAACCTAATAACTTTCTTGTGCAGTCCTTAATTATTAGATATTTCTGTTAATTTTTCTCAGTTTACTAATTTTCAAACTATTGTTCTTAAGTAATATTTTTATCANATATTCATTCAAGCATATTCTATGAATATTCTAAAGGCATGTATATATTCCAAGAATATTCTATGAATATTTGGAATATATACGTTCGTTTTATGACATACAGGTAATATTCCATGAATATCTGGTGCTGTGTGGGTTCAGATTCAATGTATCATATAACGTGTTTCTAGCGCTGAAGATTCAGGATATTGCGAAATATCCTCTCTATTTTTTTAAATTTTTGTGGAGGAGTCAATATTTCTTCAAATCTTTTGGTTTTCAATTCGTTTTTTGAGGCAGATGATAAATACCTTTCATGTTCGTGGATTCTCAAATTTCTCAAAGTCCTCCCTACATACACTTTTGATCATGATCCGCATGTTAGTTTGGAGACACGTGATCTGTTAGCCTTGTCTATGTGTGACTTGTTATTTTTTGTAAGTCTACCCGAAAAGTTACCAGTTTCACAGGAACACATAGACAATTACAGTTATTTTTCCATTACATCAACTCTATTTATGTGAACATTCAATTCACAATAGAACCAGAAGAACTTTTAAGCCCCCCCAATTGAATAAATTAATAACGAACACGATTTACCACAAACCAACCAAAACAGATGAATCTTCTTGAATTGTCCCCAGAACCCAATCCAGTTCTTCACGTTCCCATCGAATTTCTTCAGTTGTAGTCTTAGTAAATAAGATTTACTTTGAATTTTCTCCGTTATAGAGAAATTGGAAAAGCTCGAACGATCTTCTTGGTTCTTCGTAATCTCGTTCAACCGGAATTCGCCTTTGGATCCATATTTATCAGCTCGTCTCTAAAATATTTTACCTCATCGTACTCCTCTTCTGATTCAATATCATCGCTGGCTTCTAATGATAATTTTTCTTTAACCCCTTCATCTACCTCGAATAATCTGCTACTATTATCCTCCAATTGTCTGAGTGGAAAAAGTAAATTCCCTGTAGTTGAATCTTTCAGCTTCAAAGCTCCATCAAGCGCTTCTCAACTGCTGCCTATTTTTCTTCAAACTGTCCATCTTTTATATCCTGTCACGGTCACCAAATAATGTAAATGGGGTGGATTTTTATTA